CTACACATCCTGTTAGAATTTCCAATTATGATTTTCCCATTAGCAAACAAAAACAAAATTAATGGCAGCTTCACCCCCCCAAAGCCTAAGCTATATTACTAATGAACTCTCAAAGAGAACTCTCCATGCAAGAATAATAAGGTGGAAATTACTGCAATAATCCAAATGTAGAAATAAAGGAAAGACTTCCAAAGATGCAAAAAAAAGCCAAAAGAAAACAACCCCGCAGTGCTTCTCATTAGCATCTGTAATAAGCTGTACACAGTGGTGTTCTGATATTCTAAAATGCACAAAGTCCATTCATTTTAAACGCTTCTCTGATTTATATTAGTCAGACATGACAGCTTGCAATCATGGCTTATATTTGACACACTGTTGTCAAAATGAAGGTGTTTGCATTGTCATAGACATTGTGGTCACATATGGTGTTCATAAGTACAGTAAGTCTCAGGACAGTTTTGAGTTCTGATTCCTTGTCCATCCCTGAAAACTGATTCTCTCCAGTGCTGGCTTTCAGTCCTTGGTACCAGGTTAGGAGGCAGACTTACCTGGAGAGGCTGGAATAGGATTTAGTGATTTATTAGGAATTATCATTAGTTATGTTTTAAAGAGCAGATAAAATTTGAATACAAGTTGCAAAATAACTTTAATCCAGAATGGAAATTCTGGAGTCCTTGGAACATGGGTTCCCATTTGTGTTATGGATAATTTTCTAAATTGTCTACTGGCCTCCTTCTTGTCTGGAAAGTCAGATAAGAAATAAGTGCCTGGAAGCCACTGTGTTAGTGTACTGATAGAATGTAGGTGAAGTTCCTCAAGGGCCTAAATGCAGTAGACATGCTGCCAGACTCCCCCTCAGCATGCATGTGTCTTCTCTCTGCCTCATGCTTATGTTCTGATAAAAGGATACAACTGAATAAGCAGCCTGTAAGTGAATTAAGATAATGCATTTTCTTGAAATATAATTACTATGTAATGTAGTAATTAGTATATATTATATATTCTTGAAATGCAGTTAGTATGTAGTATATGGTGATGAACTATCAATAGTACAGAGTAGTGTGGACAGTAATTTTTATTGAAGACTTATTTTGGTGCCAGGCCTAAGGAGGATTTATTTTGAGTTAATTTTCCCGAACAGTTCTGTGATTTAGGCATCATTATTATCATTGTTATCCCTAGTTTGTAGATGAAACACTAAGGCTTAGAACCACTGCTTGAGTGGATGTGTCCTGACATCCACCCTGGTCTGCCAATCCCTATAGTTGTTTTCTCTCCATCCACTAGAGCTGTGCTGATTGGAATCAGTAGGGAAACTGAGGGGAAATCGGACCCTGTCTTAGCTCAGAGAGAGATGGTTAAAAGCAGAGACTCTGGACCCACAATAACCAGTGTGCAGCCTCTGGTTACTTTGAGCCCTTGAAGTGAGGTCCACACCCAGGCACAGCTCCAGCTCTACCATCTACTAGATGTGCTAATGGTATATTATTTACATCCTCTGTGCATTTCATGCAAAAATTACCTCATAAGCCATTGTAGAAATAAAATGATACATGTAAAAAGCTCAAAGAGCCTCCTGCCTATAATAAGCTTTCTGTGTGCTTAAAAGTGTGTTGGTGGTGGTGGTGGTGGTGGAGGTTAGTGACACTTAAGAGGTACACTTGATTATAGAGGCCAAGAAGGAGGTGGTGTCACGGCAAGTTCAAGCTAAGAGTTCCGATGGCTAGAAAGAGCACTCACAATGACATAAACAATGTGAAACATGGAGCTGTTGGGATTAACTCATTGCAGCATTATCTGCAGTAACAAAAGACAGGAAAGCCCCCAAGCCTCCCGTCAATAGTGGGCTGGTCACATTCATCTACCAGGCCCTTTTGATCGGCACATCTAAATGGAAAGCTATACAGTACATGCAAACATTTTCTTTAAAAGGTAGAGAGGTGGTAAACACACACACACACACAAATGCACACATGCATACATACGTGCACAGACACATGTGCGTACACACACTTGAATGGGTATGAACTGCCTCTAGAAAGAGTAAGAAGAACCTCTCTACCTCTGAGAGATGCATTTCTAAGACACAGGCGAGAGGGGTATCACAGTATATCTTTCTGTACTGTGTGAATTTGAACCTTGTAAATCTAAATACGGAACACACATATAGTTTGAAAACTTTCAAAGTTAGCCTCCACCTGGGAAGCGAGAAGAACTAGCTTCCTGAGCGAAGACGCCTGAAGGGTGGGACCTTAGGAAGCTCAGGATTAGCTACTGCGCTACCTTTCTTTTCTTTAATTTTGAGTAAAGGAAATAAATAGTGAATCACATTTTAAATATGCCAGATAATGAAAGTCCACTGGCACCTTACTAAGCTCAGGTGAGTATTTCCCAGAGAGTTCAGTTCTCTGCTGCCCATAACTAAAGGCAGTTAGAAAATGCACTGTTCTGTTTGGAAACTGCATTCTGGTTATGGCAGTAGATGTGTAAACCTGTGCTTAAATGATGTCATGAGGTTGATGACAGAAGAATCAAGTAGTGGAGCTTGTTAAGCCTGCTGGCACAGAAGTCTAGGGAGATCCTTCTAGCTACAGAAGACTTGCACGAGAGCATTTACACAGAGAGAGGGGCAGGAGGAAGGTGTGCCAATATGTTAGTGTATTTCAAGACCAGTGAGTCACCTCCCAGGGTTGGGGACAAAGCACAGACATGGGGAAATTCCACAATGTCCCCATGTAATATGTCATATGTAAACTGACTTGTTCAACAAACAAGTTTGCCAAGTACAAGCTGATTCATAAGATAGGAGACACAAGGCATTTTAGTGAAGAAATAATTATGTCAGAAAGGATATGACAGACAGATTCAAAAAGGGAACTTGAGGATACCTGAGAGCTACTTGCAACCAAGCTGAGGCTGAGAATTGAGGAGAGACATTCTTTTAGTAAAAGAATTGAGAAGCATCAGGCACCATGCATGGATGCTGGGCGTTGGGTCTTATTTCTGCATCTCCCCTGCCTATACTTTCAGCAACTGCACTTTGCTCCGGGGCCACCATCCAGAGTTAATGTGACTTAGCTGATTAACAACTGCATTAAGCATTGCTGAGGCTTTGTGCTTAGAACTCCGCCTCAGTTTTAAGCTGCTCTCTGTGTGCTACGCATTGAGCTATGATTAAATACAAACATAAGGTCCCCAGTGTGGTCCTCATTGAGCTTTCACTGGAGCTTGGGAGCAAGACGCAGACCAGGTAAATGTTGTAATAGGACCGTTTCATTCTTCAGAGAGCACCAAAGATGGGGTTTCATTTGAGCATGGGAAACAGTGAGCTAAGGGAAATAGGAACAACAAATTGGTGAAGTAAGGGGTCTCAAGCAGGCAGAGAGAGAGGAATATTCGGATAGAAGAGAATTAGGGGCAGTGAGAATCAAAGCATGAAGCAAGTATGTTTGTGTGAGTAAATTCTACATGGTATAGCCCAAATGGGGAGACCAGGCTGAGGAGAGGCATGGCTGGAAGGATGAGGGTTGGAACACAGAAGGCTTTGTGCTGAACTCACCCAGGAAGCATGCCGATGGATGGCGGAAGGAGGTGGGATGTACTCAGGGAGAGCAGACTGAGAGGGTCAGAGTGACAGGAGCTCAGCCGGGCTGCATGAGCCTGGAAGGGGGTCTTGGGTCCCATCTGTGTTTGATCTTAGGGCAGCGAGGTTGAAATGAGAGCCATATAATCTTCATATGTCACCTGCAGGGTGGCTCCCTTGCCTGTAGGTGTGGAGGTGGCTGACCATCTCCCCGGGTAGATGTCAGAGTCCCTGGGGGCTTGATCTGTTAAGTGTCTGGTGCAGTGGGTGGCATGCCATGCTGCTCTATCACATATTGAGTAGATTGTATATTCGTAAGCTAACCTCCCTGACAGATCGGCTCTCTGTATTTTAGCAGAAAGACTTAGAATTTTAAATTTTGTTTCAAAAAATAGTATCTTTCTTGTACGTTATACACAGAAACAACAAGTGACATTTGATAAGTGAAGTACTGAAATTAATGGTTAATCGCCATATGTATCACCCTGTATTTGCAACAATTTTTATAAACTAAAGAGATAAGTAGCCATCTTTTAAACATTTGTAAAGCGTGGGAGATTAGTTCTCTTGCTATTTATGTTGTAAATAACACCAAATTGCTTAACCTAGAGTTGAAGGGTGCATCGTATTAGTCATCCTTGTTTCTAACACAGTCTCCTTGGGAATCACTGGACGCCACCCGGGCTATCTCCTGCCCTTCATGTCAGCACACCGAGGGTGCCTCCATTATCACCACCTTCCTCATGTCCACCGTGGGATCCCATAAGCTTCTGCACAAATACGTGTGATGTTGCCTGATCAGCATGGACATTTTTCTAAGTTTCTATCAGCCATGTCTTCATCCCGATCTCCCTTCCTCTGGGTGAGAAAATATGTCTGGTGGAGAGTATCTTCCCACGGTGGTCAGGAGCTGTCTCTGGTTGTCAGAAATGTCTTCCTTCACAGTTAAACTGGACAGCTCAACCCTCGATTCTATGCTTTTATGTTCTTGGGCTGTCTTGTCTGTTTAAGGTGTATCACAGGGCAGGGATTTTTGTTCTGTGAGCTTGCTGTCCCCAGCCACATCATCACAGATTTCTGTATACTTGATAGTAGAAGACTAGTGGCCAACACTTCTCATGACGTGTGCAGTGAGGTTTATTTCATTCAGCTTGGTGCACTTACTTGACTGCACAGGTCCATGCAGGACTCACTGACTTTTGTTCAAAGACTTTAAGAAATGAGAATTATGTGTCTGATGTGTGACTCCATCCCCTGGTGTTTGTTTTGCAGGGTGGGGAGCTCTTCTCTGAGTTGACTCTTTGTGTTGACTGAACCTCTGTGTTGAGAGGTGACACTGATGTATGGTGCCAGTGCTTCTGTTTCTTACCCTCCTGGCTTTCTTACCACTCAGCTTTTCTGTTTTCCCTCTTGTTAGGGTTCCCTCCTGGCATCTCTTTCTCCATCGCTGTGAGTCTGGCCTAATCGAAGACTGAGGTTATGAAGTCGATCCTGGATGGCCTTGCAGATACCACCTTCCGCACCATCACCACAGACCTCCTTTATGTGGGCTCCAATGATATTCAGTACGAAGACATCAAAGGAGACATGGCATCCAAATTAGGATACTTCCCTCAGAAGTTCCCTCTGACTTCCTTCAGGGGTAGTCCCTTCCAAGAGAAGATGACTGCAGGAGACAACTCCCAGTTGGTGCCAGTGGTAGACACAACAAACATCACAGAATTCTACAACAAGTCCCTCTCGTCATACAAGGAGAATGAGGAGAACATCCAGTGTGGGGAGAACTTTATGGACATGGAGTGCTTCATGATTCTGAACCCCAGTCAGCAGCTGGCCATTGCCGTGCTGTCCCTCACGCTGGGCACCTTCACGGTTCTGGAGAACCTTCTGGTGCTGTGTGTCATCCTGCATTCCCGCAGTCTCCGATGCAGGCCTTCCTACCACTTCATTGGCAGTCTGGCAGTGGCCGACCTCCTGGGGAGCGTCATTTTTGTCTACAGCTTTGTTGACTTCCATGTGTTCCATCGTAAAGACAGCCCCAATGTGTTTCTGTTCAAACTGGGTGGGGTCACAGCCTCTTTCACAGCTTCTGTGGGCAGCCTGTTCCTCACAGCCATTGACAGGTACATATCCATTCACCGGCCTCTGGCCTATAAGAGGATCGTCACCAGACCCAAGGCCGTAGTAGCCTTTTGCCTGATGTGGACTATTGCAATAGTAATTGCTGTGCTGCCTCTCCTTGGCTGGAACTGCAAGAAGCTGCAATCTGTTTGCTCGGACATTTTCCCACTCATTGATGAAACCTACCTGATGTTCTGGATTGGAGTCACCAGCGTGCTGTTGCTGTTCATTGTGTATGCGTACATGTACATTCTCTGGAAGGCTCACAGCCATGCAGTCCGCATGATTCAACGTGGAACCCAGAAGAGCATCATCATCCACACATCAGAAGATGGCAAGGTGCAGGTGACCCGGCCCGACCAAGCTCGCATGGACATTAGGCTGGCCAAAACCCTGGTCCTGATCCTGGTGGTGTTGATCATCTGCTGGGGCCCTCTGCTTGCAATCATGGTATATGATGTCTTTGGAAAGATGAATAAGCTTATCAAGACGGTGTTTGCCTTCTGTAGTATGCTCTGCCTGCTGAACTCCACCGTGAACCCCATCATCTACGCTCTGAGGAGCAAGGACCTGAGACATGCTTTCCGCAGCATGTTCCCTTCATGCGAAGGAACTGCACAGCCTCTAGATAACAGCATGGGGGACTCAGACTGCCTGCACAAGCATGCCAACAACACAGCCAGCATGCACAGGGCCGCGGAAAGCTGCATCAAGAGCACGGTTAAGATCGCCAAGGTGACCATGTCTGTGTCCACAGACACGTCTGCCGAGGCTCTGTGAGCCTAATGCTTTTGTGGCTACACAGAAAAAGAAGTTCTTTTTTTAAAGCTTAAAATTTAGAAGTCTGTTGTCCTTGGGATTATATATTTTTAAGTTACCATGTTTAGCAAACAGTGCCTGTCACTTGTGCTTATTTATCAGATTGCTGACATCTCAATAGTTTAGGTACTTAAACTCCACTTTTTCCAGGGGTTTACAGTGAAGAAAGCCTGTTGCTTCAGTTACTCACAGGCCCTTCAAAGTCTCTCAAATAGAAGGGAAACCTTTGGCTACAAAATCTGAAGTCTAAGTAACCATAGGGAAACACCAGGAAATGAGTAATGCCTTTGTAACCACAATTTTCAAGACAATGTGGTATGTGTCTTGTCTATAGTATAAAAAAGTACATTTTTACAATAGGTATAGTGCTAAAGTAGAGATACTTTGTAAAATGTTTTATGTCCTGTGAGTTCTGTTTCAGTGTTTATTGTGTGGTTTTGTCTAGTTTAGCAAAACCAGAAGGTAGACTTTCATAAGATCAATGGCATATGGGAGTAGGTATGTACCAGGGTGATTCCTGTTTAGATGGTATTATTGTCTGTGATACAGTTTTAGAAACCTTAGTATTTCTTCCAGTATCCATATCTGAAGTTAACATTGAAATAACCATAAAAGGTTTATTTTTCTGTTAAAACAACAAGAAGATTTTGAAGACTATCCAAAGTACTAAGCAGAATTCGTGGACACTAAAACTGTGTTAGGCCTGAATTTCCATATGAGGACATTTATTATCTTCTGGACCACAGCAATTCAGTTGGGTAATGGATTATAATCAAACTGGAAAAGAGAAAGCATACTGACTTTTTAAGGCTGACATTGCTGACTTTCTTCAGTTGTTAGCTACCACTGGACCTCTTCAGACAGCATGTGTCAATCTTAATGTACACTGTTATCACTGTGCTGTTGCTGTTTACTTGAAGTGTATTGCATTGTTATGTTCCAGATTAAGTAGATTTCAGGCCTGGATGGCCAAAACACAATCTTCTTCTTTTCAATTGAGAAGAAGTATTGTCTGATTCAGTGAAATTGTACCACGTGAGTATGACTGTAAATGTGTGTGTGTGTGTGTGTGTGTTCTATCTTGTAGCTGTAACTGTTACAGCAATGTCATAACACAAGAAAACTGACCAAGTGTGAACTGTTCCACTTGCCTCAGTCTTGAACATGAATTCAGTTTCTAAGATCAAGCTCTTCATGAAACCTTGTCTGTAAAAATTCTGACTAAAACCTTTCAGAAAAATCTTCCCACCTAAGTGATTCAGTATTCTAATGACCTTTAGGTGTTCCATTAGGACAGCATTCAGCAAGGAGTTATCAGTAAGAGGTGTAAAAGCTTAAAGGATTCTCCCAGGGACATGGGAGAGTGGCAGATGATGAGCACGTAGTAGTGATCAACTTCATGGAAATGAAAACCACTAAGAGGGAGATGTTCTAAGACCTTCAAGACCCCCTAACAGAAATGAGTTTCAATGGTGCATGTAGGCAGTCAGACCCCAGGTTAAATAGCGCTGCACACAGCATGCTAGTCCCCAGGTCCAGCCATTTGAATACAAAGGGTGAGCAGGTCAGTGGGTATGACAAAAGGGTAGTGAAAGCTGGTAACAGCCCCATGGCTGCCTGTGTTTAGGTAAGTTTGGGCTAATGAATAGGCAGTGCCTCCACTTGCTGGTATTTAGATGTGCCAAGGTTTAAAGATGATGGTTGCTAGCTTCTGATTGGCTCCACTGCCATGGTGCTCAGAATTGGGCCCTTTTCCAGTACAGAGAGGTATTGCTTTTAAAAAGCGACTTGCTCCTGTTAAGTTCTACTTAGAGTCTCTCCTCCTTGTGCATATTCTTACCAGTCCTGAAGACTGCATAGCATGAAGCAGAGAGCTAGCATCCACCTGTGATTTCTAGTGTTTGGGGTTCCCAGACTCAAGGGGCAGTGCCCCTTTTTGCAATCCGTGGTAAGATGGATGTGGCCTGAGGACCAAGCTGGGATGTATTTGCCTTCTGAGCCTCTTGCTTTCGTTGTCTGTGTACAGATGAGGACTCAGGACACAGGAGTAGTAACTCCATAAGGAAGGGTATTAACAGAGTATCACCAGGGGCTGGGAATCGCCAGACTTGTCCTACATCAACCTGAATATCAAGATTCATGTCTCTAACTACCAGGCAGTACCACCTCTTCTCACAGATAAAAAGACCTGGTAGGAAGTTCTGAGTATAGGTATATAAAAAATCCCGAGATTCACTTTTAAAACTGTATTTGTGTAAATGCCATTTTAGTGATAGATTTTATATTGTAATGAACTTTCAAGACCTAATTCATATAATAAGCTAAGGGACAATGGGGCTGATAGCACTAAACTTGGTGCTTATTGATACTCTAAGAAACATCTGTGAAATATCATCATGTGTGTATTAAACTACCTTCATTTAAAAAATACTTAAGATTAGTTGGATCCACTTTGGCATTTCCTATATCATTTCCTAACCCTAGTGACCAAAACATTCTCCCCAGTGAATATAGTCATTAGAATTACATTCATTAGTATCATTCATTAGCCAGCCTCTTAATTAGATTCATTAATTTCAATTTAATCACTTATATGCTCTGGCATCAGGGTTATCTGCTTTCCCCCCGACATTTGTTCCAAACACGCATTCTTCTGCTATTACTCTCATCTTCAAAAGCTGATTCCCCAACTGCTCAAGTCCTGCAGCATAAAGACTGAGTCCTGAACTAGCGGTATCATTTAAACAAGGAAAGCTATCTCCAAGGGCCCCTAGTCTTTCACTGTGTACTAAACATATGTAAAGGAAGTGCGGATCTGGGCAACTTAGACATGTGCCTGTGACAGATAATTCCCAGGCTCCCTGATACTGACTGTCAGGGCTAGCTGGTATTAAATGCCAAGGAATTTTTGCTGTCTAAACCCACTCTGCAGGAAATAGGCCCAACCACCAGATGAGAGGTAGGTCTCTGGTTACTGTTCAGTTCATTAATTTCTGCCATTTCACATCCAAGATCACTAGCATCATGCACAAAATTAGATTTCTCGTACTCTCAACTGTATATTTGTATGATATTTTAAAATCTCCTAAATGGCCATTTACAGTTGCTTTGTACAGGCCTTCTGATAAAATGTTAACATACCTATTGTAATATACACAAAGCATTCTATCTATTGATTTGGACTGAATGTATGTACATAGGTTTTACAAACGAGTCAGATGTTGAAGCAGTGGTTTACAGATCAGTGATTTTTTCAGACAGAGTTTCTTTCGATTGCTGTGGTATCTTAAAAAAGCATCCTTTGTGTAAACTTACTGAACTCTAAGGGTCCTCAGGATCAGAGTTCCCTAGTGAGTAAATCTTTTCTTGTAATAATATGAACTGAGGTACCAGATTATCTTAATTCTCACTTCCAGTGTTTCAAGTGGAAAACATATCTCCCTATTGTATCTGTAAATGGAATATCCTTTTTCTCTTTAAAAATATTGTACTGTTAGACGTTTGTTAAACTGGTAGCATCATTGAGATTGCTGTGATGTCTTTGTCAGTAATCTGTATAATATTTTGTATACAAGTGCTGGTAAGATTGTTCTTCAATGTAGCTTCAGTCATTAAATTACTATAGCAAAGTAGCACTTCTGTAATATTACAACGTATTAAGCCTACAGTATATTTTATTTCATTGATGTAATTTGTTATTTATTCAAGAGAAAACAGTTCATCATGTCTATTGTCCAAAATTACCTGGAATCAAATAAAAATTCTAGATTATCATGAAAAACATAAAAGGCCTTTGAATTCTGGCTTGTACCAACTGTAATGGTAAAGCATTGGTGGTTCATATTTTATAAGAGGATTTGTTGAAAAACTAACTTGTTTCCCCCCAAAGCCATGGGTTTGACATTTGAAAATGGGGCTATATTGGTTACAGTATTCATTTTTTAACACAGGAAAGATAAAGCAAAAAATTTTCCATTGCACAGTAAGGCAGAGATAACCGCTGTACCTTCTTAAAACATTGTTTAATTAAGGTTTCTAGATATTTTATAATTTACTAAAGCAAACAATTACAACATACAAGTTAAAATTTAACATATATACTAGAGCATAAATTTTTAAAATAATTTTTATTTAAATAAAAGCAATCTTATTTTCCATACCAATCCCAGTTCCCACTCCCTCCTGTCCTCCCATGTCCCCCACCAACCCCGCATCCCAACCCCCATCCACTCCCCAGGGAGGGTGAGGACTCCCATGAGGGATCATCAAAGTCTGATACATCATTTGGGGCAAGACCTAGGCCCTCTCCTGTGTATCTAGGCTGAGAGAGTATCCCTCTATAGGGAGTGGACTCCCAAAGCCCATTCATGCACTAGGGATAAATACTGGTTTCACTGGCCACGCCTCCCAACTGACACCCATGTTCAGGTGGCCTGTTTTGGTCCTATGCCGGTTACACAGCTGTCAGACTGGGGTCCATGAATTTCTACTTGCTCAGATTAGCTGTTTCTGTGGGTTTTCCCAGCATGGTCTTTACTCCTTTGCTCATAACTCCTCTCTCTCTACAACTGGATTTCAGGAGCTCAGTGCTTAGCTGTGAATCTCTGCTTCTGCTACTGGATGAAGGCTCCATGATGGCATTTAAGGTAGTCATCAATCTCATTATAGGGGAAGAGCATTTAAGGTAGCCTCTCCACTATTGCTTAGATTCTTGGGGTCATCCTTGTGGATCCCTGGACATTTCCCTAGTGCCAAATTTCTCTTAAATATAATGGCTCCCTCTATTAAGATACCTCTTTTCTTGCTCTCCCTCTCTGTTCTTCCCCCAACTCTGTCTTCCTGATCCCTCGTAATATCCTTCCCCTTCTCCCCTCCTCTTTCTTCTACCACCCTTCCCACACCCGTCTCCCCATTTTCTCAGGAGATCTTGTCCCTTTCCCCTTCTCTGGGAGACATGTGAGTTTCTTTTAGGGTCCTCCTCATTTCACAGCTTCTCTGGGGTTGTGGATTGTAGATTGATTATCCTTTGGTTTATGTCTAATATCCACTTATGAGTGAGTACATTCCATGTTTATCTTTCTGTGTCTGGGTTACCTCATTCAGAATGTTTTTTTTTCATTCATTTGCCTGAAAATTTCAAGATTTCATTGGTTTTTTTTTCAGCTGAGTAGTACTCCATTGTGTAAATGCACCACATTTTCTTTATCCACTCTTTGGTTGAGGGGCATCTAGGTTGCTTCCAGGTTCTGGCAATTACAAATAATTCTGCTATGAACATAGTTTAACAGATGTCCTTGTGTTATGAGTGTGTATCCTTTGGGTATAAGCCTAAGGGTGGAATTGCTGGAGGTAGACTTATTCCTCTTTTCCTAAGAAACCACCATACTGATTTCCAAAGTGGCTGTACAAGTTTGAATTCCCACCAGCAATGGAGGAGTGTTCCCCTTTCTCCACATCCTCTCCAGCATAAATTGTTGTTGGTGTTTTTATTTTAGCCTTTCTGTCAGGTATAATATAGTATCTCAGACTTGTTTTAATTTGCATTTCCTTGATGGCTAAGGATGTTGAACAATTTTTAAGTGTCTTTCAGTCATTTTAGATCTCTCTATTCAGAATTCTTTATTTAGTTCTGTACTCCACTTTTTAATTGGATTATTTGGTGTTTTGATGACTATCTTCTTGTGTTCTTTGTGTATTTTGGAAATTAGCCCTCTGTCAGATGTGGGGTTGGTGAAGATCTTTTCCCATTTTGTGTGTGGCCTTTTTGTCCTTGTTGACTGTGTCCTTTGCTTTACAGTAGCTTTTCAGTTTCAGGATGTCCCATTTATTAATTGTTGATCTTAGTGTCTGTGTTACTGGTAAAATGCATATCTTAAAGAATGCATAAACGTATACCTCAAGTCATGTAAGAGATGCAAGCCTTTCAATAGTTTGCAAAAGTGAATTTCTATTTAATCAGTTTTAAAAAGCATTAGAGGAAAGTTTAAACTTTGAAACAAAAGCATGTGATCAATTTTGAGGAAAGCTTTAAATACTTTGAAATAATGAAGTAGTGAACATTTGAAACTAGGTTATCTCTGTTTATAATAACTAGCCTAATTTAATTATTCTGCCTTTTTATAATGTATAAACTTAATGTTCTTACAAAAATATACTATATTTATTCTTAGATATTAAATTTTATGTTAGGACTTCAAAGGAAAGTAATATTTTAGTATTTGCAGAGATTATTTTAAAACCTTAAACCGGTTGGTCCTCTCCTACAATGTGTTGCTCCCTACATTGAAATACATGTTTAAAATTATATTAAAACAGAAACACCAACTCTGTCCATTAGAACTAATCCATGTTGGAATTCTCTTGTGTTATCATATTGAACTAACTTCTACACATCTTCCTCTCTCTTCATTTCCCCCGTCTTCTCTCTGATCTTTGAAACGGGCTCTCACTTCATGGTCCAGGCTTACAGTCTCCCATCTCAGCTTCCAAAGTGCTAAGATTACAGGCATGCCCAACTCCACAGGTTTATACCAGTTCTTCAGCTCATGATCAAAAGTGAAACAGCTGTGTTCTGTTATATCCAGAATGACGGATATTGTGGAATCACTTCCACATATTATGTTGTCTTCATGCCGACTCTGTGATGTGTATACCGTTGCTGCACTGTGTAGGTAAAAAGAAGGGGATCACAGAGCTAATGCTAGAATCAAGGTTTCTCTGATCACAAAGTCTCTGTTACGTTGTGTATAGCAGTGCTTCCACCTACATATTCATTTTCTTACTTAAAATCACATATATGTATTTATTAAAATTCTCACATCTCGCAGGCAAAAGTCAAAGATGACTGGTGCACTAGAAAATTCCTCTTCTTGTTGCTCCAATCAAATGCTGGCAAAAGTCCTTTAAGAAAGCGGAGTTTTTTCGCCTCGCAGTTAGGAGGCGTATTCCGGCATCGCGGGGGAACCATGGTGGTAAGGGTGTGAGGCAGCTGGCCATGTTGCATCCACAGTCAGGAGGCAGAGAGTGACGGATCCTGGTCTTCGGCTTGCTGCCTCCTTATTCAGTCCATAGCATAGACTGTGGCATGGTACTACCCCCTTTTAGGATAGCTCTCCCAACCTTGATGGACAGCATCAAGAAAGCCCCACGTGCAAATGTCCAGAGGTTTGCTCCTACGTGATTCTAAATCTGTCAAATTCATAATCAAGATAGTCCTAAGCAAAATCATCATCGTTCTAGTTCCATGTTTTTTAGGCTTAAAGCAGTCTGGTAATGTGTCTAGGTAGGAAGTTGCATTTCTTTGGTGGAGACCCCTGTCTTTGTTGTCTTCATTTTGGATCCCTTATCCGCACCAACTTGCAAAGAATAAGGAGTTACAGAGTGGTGAGCTAGTCTAACCAGTTATTAGCGGTTTCTCTCCTTCACTTTTCAAACAACAACAATTTATAAAACTTTATTAAACCTATTCTGGGAGTCAAATAAATTAAATTTGTGTTACCTAACGTGAACATAGCTCACCTCAGTTAGGAGACAGAGTAGCTGAGGGCAAGTTTAGTTTATTGCATTATAGGCACAGCCTGTTCCCACCTACACTAGCTGCATTTCCAGTCTTTGCTTACTTACTCCAGGAATGCTTTAACTTCAGTTCACTGAAAGAAAGAAACCTTTCATCTTTAAACTGTATACATGGTACCTAGAAAACATATTCTATACTAGTCAATGAATTGTGACTTATTAGAATTGGGATAACCACATAAGCAACTTATGAACCTACCTAGTACCTGTCACTGATAACAGTGGTGTTAGAATTGAGCTTTAATTATAACATGCACATGCTTTATCTCATTTAATCCTCTAGATCACCCTGTGAAATATTACTATTCCTATTTGACAGACAGTTACTTCCTAAGGTCAAGCAACTAATAAGTGGCACAGCTTGAATGTGCTTTTGGCTTAGCAGATTACTAGTGAAAACCAGTCAGTTTACATTAAATGAACTGTGCATTTATTCTATTTAATCCATGATGGGGGAAATCCTTCTGTGTATATGTTGTCTTTTTGGTTTATTAAATAAAGCACTGTTGGCCTATAGGGAAGCAAGATAGGTGGGACTAGGAGTCGAGGAGGATTCTGGGAAACAGAGGCACAGTCAGTCACGATGTAGGATGCCAGAGAAGTAAGAGGTCCAGACCCTTTCTCCAGTAAGAGAAGACCATGTGGAAATACTCAGATTAGCAGTTATGGGTTAATAGTTAAGTCAGAGCTAGCTGATAAGAAACCAAGCAAATGGCCAACAGCTTCATAATTAATATAGTATTTCATGTGTTATTTGGGGGCTGAGACAGCTGCAGGACCCAGGGGACTAGCGGGAAGAATGCACATTACAAATCCAAGTAATGTTCATTATATATCAAGGCAAATCATCAAATTACCTAATATCTGGTAAAAAAAAGGTGAACACTTTAATCAGCCCACCTCAATACAGCACAGTCAATGACAAAATAAAGAGGATAACAGGAATACGAGTGATACTTGTGCAGAGTACTGAGGAAGAAGCAGGAACCAGCCTTGGAAGGGAAAATGTATATAGGAATGCTAGGGAATGGCAGCAAGAGAAGCAATGGTTGGATGGGGGCAGCAGTGAGAGATGCGAATGAATATAATGTGTTCAGTGAATGACACGTAGTCCCTTTTTCCAGAACATTGCATCACAGCTTTTGTGCTGAGAGGATTCATTGTTCTTTGTGGACCTGTGCTGCAATTCAGCAGACTGTCAGTATTAG